GGAATGGCTTGGTAAAGATTAACAGTCATGTTACAAGACTGATGGGCCAGATGTGTGGGTAAATCTAACAACCAGAAAGGACTCTTGACCTCATAGAAAATACCAGAAAATTGCTCAGCTTATCAGGTATGCTCTCAATAGATACTTCTCTGAGAGGGCTATTAATTACCTTATGTCCCAAGTTCTGTCCCACATCATCTCTTCTCAGGTCTGAGGCATTATTTTCTCAGTGCCATATTTTGTCATATCTAATAGGCACATTTTCCACATCTTAACATCTCTGTACTGGAAATACAACATATGGTCATGTCTTGATTGACTTGGCATGGGTTTTTCCTTCTTTGTGGTTCATAAAATAATGTCATGTCTTATAACAAATGATGTATCTGTCAGCTATTTTTACCACAATGCTGTGTAACATGTGTAATGCTACCCTGAAACTCAGTGATTTTCAGTTAAGTATTTCTTCCTTGCTCATGCATCTGTGGGATAACTGGGATTTGGCTGACTTAGGTTGAGATCAACTGGTTCAGATATGTTCCATGACTTTTTTATTCTTCTGGGGTCAACAAAATAGTGGGTTTTGTTCTTGTCATGGACCCAACTGAACAAGCTTATTTCAAGCTTCTGTTCAAGTCATGCCTGCTAACATCCTATTGGCCAAAGAAGTAACATGGTGAAGCTCAAAATCAGGATGCTGGGTGTACATTCCACCACTGAATGTAGGGAAGCGGGGAAGTGGGGACGGAGAGAGTATCTGGTGAATGATGACCTAATCTGCCGCAGGTGGTAACTTGGATTGGCTTGAACATGGCCTCAAGAAGGAACATGTACACCCCCGGTTTCTCTTCTGAGGGCCTAGAGGTGAACCCTGTGCAATAAGAACAGCCCAGAGATACATAAACTTGAAGCTTTAAAGCTCCCTACTGAATAATCTGGTGTTTGCAGCACATGCAGATGGAGAAATTCCAGAATCAGCCCTGGGGCTCCCAACCCTTGCTTGCTACTTTCCAGCCACTATGACCCTCATTGTTCACTTAACCTCTTCCTTCTGTTTTCTTAACTGCAGTCACATCACCCTCTCAGGACTGCTCAATGAGTTGACAGTAGTAATCACAGTACCCAATCATTGAGTCCTAAGAACGAGACACTACACTAAACTCTTTACATCTGCTGTCTCATTTAACCCTCCCAGCAGCCCTTGGAGGCAAGGAGGACTTTTTTCCTCATTTGGAGGTGGAGAGACTTGGCTCAGAGAACTTTAAAATCTGCCTAAGCAGGTAACAGAGACCCTATCCAGAGGCTGCCCCTCCAAGCCTCAGCACCGCATCCACTGGCTCTCAGGTCAGAAGGTGCTTGGAGGGAAACCCGCCCCTTCAGTCTGACTCAGCTGAGACCCAGGAGACTATTCCTATTGTCATACTGCACATTTTTCATTCATCAGCTCACACAGACTCCCATACAGAGAACGTATGTCTCTTAAATATAAAAACCTTCTCCACTGCATCAGTGAAGAGGAAGTGGCTTTGGGTGGAGGAAACTTTCCATTCTATAACCTGCTTCTTCCTCTGCTTGCCTGATGCAGTTAATTATTTGCCTCCCCATCGTTCCTCTTGCACTGTTAGCCAGGAGAGTGTTACATTGTGGGAAGCAGTGAGCAGGAGGCACTGGGTGAGTGGACTTAAAGGCGGAAACTGCTCTTCCCTGCAACTACCTCCCTTCCCGAAAATAGCCTGGTAATCAGCAATAATGATGAAAAAAATAGAGGGAACATGCAAGGGAATTAAACAAGAATTTGATACAATATTAAGCAGTTTTAAATGGGCTTCCACAGTAGCAGGGGTGCACTTCACAGCACGTGGAATGAACACCCCACAGTCCTGAAGTTCCCGGAATAGGCTGATGGGTCTGACCTGAGGGCCCAGACACTTCCCTGCCCCCACCACCCACCCACACACACACAAACACACACACACACACACACACACACACACACACACACACACTGCCCCTGGCCACCTCTGTTCATCTCTCAACTAGTTCTTTCCAGAGGATCTAACAGCTGGGAGTCGGGCTGCCTTGCTTGACAGAAGCTGCAATTCTACCAGAAAACTTGCTAGATTCCTCAAACTGGCCACCACCAACTCCCCTAGACTCTTCGGTGAGTTCACCAGTAAAACAGGCATTCATCAATTCCCACATCCAGAGGTGTGTCGCAGACTTGGCTTTTCACAATGTCCTCCTTATTCAGATCCTTGAAAGAAATCTCTTCCTCTTCCACCTGGAATGGCTAGGCATTACCAAACAGCTTTTCGACGTCTCATGGTCACTGGGAATCACATGAGGGATTGTGTTTCCCTCTTTGCATTGGCTTCGAGGATGCTCAGGGCCAAATCTGTGTAATAGCTTGTGTGTCATGAGATTTGATATTTGTCTTACCTGATCTTGTTTTCTTATTTGTCACATCTCCTGCCCTTCTCAATTTTTAAATTGTCTGCCCCTAATCCTTTTTGGAATAAGGGCATAAACAAGTCAAATAAATTTGTTGCCAAACTCTTAATCTCTACTTTTGTAGAAATAAGGTAACTTAGATGTAGAGGTGGAGTCTGTGAATTCTTTGAAGATGTGTCCTTCTTTGAAATGCCAGTGCTTGAACAGAACTTGACACATTGTAACTGCCAAGCACAGACTCTGATGCAAAATAGGTATCAGTTCAGGGCTTGGCACATAATACTCAAGCCCATTTTATTTGCTGTGGCATGGACCATCAGCCTGTCACTTATTATAAAATTTTTAAGAATTTTGTTAACCTTCGCAGTCAAAGAAAGCAAAGAGTTAGGCTGTTCCACGTGTAGGCTTAAATATTTGATCACACTGTACTTAGTTTGCTAGGGCTACCCTAACAAAGTACTACAAACTGGGTGGCTTAAACAACAGAAACGTGTTGTCTCACAGTTCTGGAGGCTAGAAGTGCAAGATCAAGGTACCAGCAGGGTGGGTTTCTTCTGACTCCTGAGAGAGAAACTCTGTTCCATGCCGCTATCCTAGCTTCTGGTGGCATGCTGGCCATCTTTGGCATTCCTTGGCCTGCAGAAGCATCCAGGCCCTCACTGACCATGAGTTCAAAACGGCACTAGCCCTTCCGCCAGCCCTGTCTCTCACGCGCCCGTGTCCCTGCTTCACGCTCGTCCAGTACTTAGCCTGTCACCTGCAGTTCACTGCTTGTTTCGTGTCTGTCTCCACCCCCTGGAGTAGGAGCTTCGTGAGGACCAGGATGCTGTGAGCTGTTTCGTTTGCTGCTGAATCTTAGCACCTAGAGTAGCTCCTGGCACACACTGGGTGTTCAGTACCTCTTTGTTGAATGGTTAAGAATGATGCAGCTGTTTAGGCAAACACACACATTTGAAACTGGGTGTGAATTAATGCTATGACGAGTCTGACTTCATTGTTTTAAAATATATTTCCAATTAAAGGATAATTGCTTTACAATATTGCTTTGGTTTCTCATTCTAAGGAGATTGACTTGCCTTTTTGGAGGTCTGGGGTCTTCAGCTGTCATTTAGAAGTGGTTCTGTAAAAGTTATTCCATATTCTGATGAGTTTTTGATGTATTTGTGGGGAGGCAGGTGATCTCCCCATCTTACTCTCCACCATCTTCTTCCATTCTTCTGACTTCATTGTGTGACCGTCGACAGCTTTGGAGCTGCCCAACCCCCCTTCCCTCTTCTCCACATCAGGGTGAGCTAATAAGAAACCCAAGGTGCTCCTTGTTTGTTTCTGGAGAGAAGTTCAGTCCCCACACAAACAAAGGACCCCTCATCCCAGCCCCACTCCCACAAAACCCTAAGCCACCCCTGCTCTGCCCAGAAAGCCTCACAATGTGAGTTGTGTCATTTTATACTTTTGTGCTATGTGTATGGTGACAGTCTTGATCTCTGAACCAAATTCTGAGCAAAGAAGCTCCATGAAGTAACATAATGATGAAATAGTGGTTGCTGTCATGCCAGCCCCAGCTCCCAGATTAACTCTGCATTTGCTTTGTTTGCACAACATCAAGAAAATCCTCTTTTGTGGAATTGAGGGGTTGCACATGGTTACGGTTTTTCTATCAGCTTATCTGGCAATCTCAGGGTGTTCTTTGATGAGTGGATTCAGAAGCTTGAAAGTGAAACAGGAGCATTTTTGTTTCAAATACGAATTCCACCTCACATCAACCGCTTGCATCCCTAAACTTAAAAGCCCAAATGGACAATTCAGGGCCAGTTATGTATAATCTGGCTTCACTGTGTTCCACCAGGTACACAGTCATTTGGTTTTGCATAGTTTTATGCATGAGGAACCTGAGAGATTATTTTGCTGTGACAAGAATGTGGCTGGACAGATGACACGAATGTGGCTGGACAGATGACACCTGATCCTTGCCTGCCAAATTTTTGTGAAAATTTCAAATTGTTCCTATGAGATAGATGCTATGATTAACCCCATTTTAGAGATTAAGAATGTGGCACATAGTGTAGAAATTCAGAAAAGTTTACAAGCTGAGAAGCAGGATCTACACTTAGGAAAAGATTGCCAGTGGCCTTCCAGTGACATATGTATATGGATTTTGAATACCACATGTTGTTGAATATAAGACGAACCATGACAAACAAAACAAATAAAAATATTGCCAATTAAATTGGTCCTCCAGAGTGTGAATTGTTATTCTCATTTCATGGTACCTAGCAGAGTGCCTAGCACATAGCAGTCACTCAGTAAGTATTTGTTGAGTGGTGGGACCCAAACCTGGAGAGGTTAGATAATTTGTTCAAGGTCTTTGGTAGGAGGTGGTCTTTGATAGAATTCAAGCTTAGGGTAAGTAACCCTGTGACTTTGAAATTCTAAAGACAGGAAGTCTCCTGCTACTGGGCCTGAGAGTGTCCTTCAGTTAATTGTTGGACCCAAGATAGTAAGACTGCCTTGATAGCCAGCCCATCTTCCTCCCTCTTTCTTTTCTTCAGCACCTTAATTCAGTGGGTGAAGATTGGCCGTGGATACTTCACCATCCTGAAGGAGGAGAGTGCCTTGAAAAAGAAGCAGCAACAACTGGAGAAACTAAAAGAGGAAGAAAGAAATAAATTCCAACCAGCCAAAATGCTGCCAGATATCCAGTGTGGGGATTTTGTTCTGCCGTAAGTAGACCTCTGTTGCCGCAGCCCAGTGGTCTTGGGAAGGACCACTGAGAAGGAACACTGGCTGGTTGCGTTGAGGAGTGGCAGCTGTCTCGCACGGGAAGCCCCTTCTTAGGATGGTGTCTGATGATTTCTTTCAATCTGACTCAAACTACTTCACCAGCCTCACCTTCTGATATTTGGTGATCTTCTACTACACCATGTCTGTTCTCATATCCAGAGCCAAGAGCCAACCAAGAAATCTTGTAGGTCCCCAGATGTGCTTTTTTTCCCTCTTCTTCTTCTAAGTAGGCTTATCCCTACTTCTAGGTATTTTCCTGTCCTGTTCCCTGGGCCTTAAATGCTGTTGCCTACCTCCTCTCCCAACTAAAGTCCTACTTATTCATTATCCTTACAAGCTCAGCTTAAATGCCACCCTGTCCTGCAGCTTCTCGGATTTCAGCCCCACCACCTCCAAAACCCATTCTGGACTCTTTTGAATTCCCATACTGTGTTTGTATGCTACTTTGTTTCATTACAGATTAATATCCCTGTTCTAGACCTTCTCCTGAAACCTGAGATCCTAGTTCAGTGTCCACCCAAGGCAAGTGAACCAAAAAAAAAAAAAGTTGTTGTGGTTTGTTGAATACAGTAGCCTCCCTCTTTTTGTAAAGGTCTCTCCTCTGGTCGGGAGACCATCAACAGATTGGAACATTATGAAATACCCAATGATGTAACAATAAATCTCATGCTAATAATCACAATTTACAATGGGTGTCTGTCTGCCATGTGCTTTGTGCACATCTGTCAAAATTTCAAAATGTTCCTATGAGATAGATGCTATGATTAGCCCCACTTTAGAGATTAGGAAACGGCAATCCACTCCAGTACTCTTGCCTGGAAGATCCCATGGACAGAGGAGCCTGGTAGGTTACAGTCCATGGGATCGAAAAAAGTCAGACACAACTGAGCAACTTACCTTTCTTTTCACTTTCAGAGATTGGGAGTGCGCCTTAGAGATGCTCACATAATTCCCATTATTGAATTATGGAAAGCGTCCCCTAAGTCCCAAACTGAGTGACACCAACGTTCATGGATTGTGCCGTTCTGCAGAAACAAGCTCTGGGGATACTTCACCTGGGCAGAGCGAACAAGACATAATAAATCAGGGATGGGAAGGAAATGCTGCAGCAGGAAGAGAGGAAGTGTTGGGTTGGCCCCAGTTTTCCATAAGATGTTGTGGGAAAAACCTGAATGAACTTTTGACTAACCCAATATATATGGTAGAAATGGCCTGCTGCTGCAGCCATTGTCCCGTTAAAGCAATGGGCTCAGCCCTGACTCCACATGAGAGTCACCTGGGTGCTTCTCAGACCCATTGCATCAGACTCTCTGGGGGTGTTACCTGGACATAGCCTTTTTCCAAGCTCCCCTAGAGAATTTCCATGTGGAGCCAACGTTGAGAGTTACTGTGCTAGAGTTGACTTTAGGAACCCAAGTTTCCATGTTGGTGCCTAAGGAGGAAATGGGATCCCCAGCAGATGGTCCCTTTCTTCTGGACTGCTTCCCAGATTCTGTTCTTCACAGTCTTTCTGACCCAAAGATCGAACCCGTATCTCTTATGTCTCCTGCATTGTCACATGGATTCTTTACCCCTCCACTGGAAAGCCCTCTTAACATAAAGAAATATGAATGTGTGCATCTTAAAAGCCGTAGTCCTATCAGTGGAATCGCACAGTATGGGACCTTTCTGTGTCTGGCTTCTTTCCCTTATCATAATGTTTTGAGGTTCATCCCAAACAGAAAGCAGACTGGTGGTTACCAGGGGTTGAGAAAGTAGGGCAGATAGAGAGTGACTGCTTAACGGGTGCAGTGTCTCCTTTGGGGCTGATGAAAATATTTTGGCACTAGATTCAGGTGATGGTTGTAAAACCATTGGTTCAAATGCCATTGAATTGCAACCTTTGAAACAGTTAATTTTATGTTATATAAATTTCAGCTGAAGGGGGAATGAAGGGAGATCTAGTCTGGGAGGCCCTGGAGTGGGGGTGGGGGTCGGGCTGGACACTAGTGGTTACCAATCCTCTTAAAGCTCAAGGCTCCCTGTGACTGTTGGGAACCCTGAGTGTGGACCCCGAGGGGCTGGGATAGTTCTAGTCACCTTCCCCCTGAAAGTGTGGCCCAGCTTATTTTAAGGAAGGTCTCTCTCCTCTTTGATTCCTCATTTGTGCAGACTTTGTTTTCCATCCCCCTTGCCCTGTGAAGCTGTCAGAAGGAAAGTTAACCTTTTATAGCTTTATAAACGTCCTTAGGACCAAAGCAGCACTCGGGCTGCTTCACCTTTCTAGTGGTCTCCAGTCTTACTCCAGTTTTGGCTGAGATTCCCACTTTGTTGTTGGCTCTTTGCCACTTTGTTAAAAAGAATATTTTGTCCAACCTTTTTTTGGTTATTTATACCCAAACAGTTGGTCTAAATAAACTAGCCTACCATTTGTGCATTTATTTAAGAGGAGAGAAAATATCTGTGACTTACAGCCCTCGCCCACATACCTTCCAGATAGTGACCATCCCGAGGAGAAGCTGCCTTTGGCGAGCAAAGGGTATTCAGATGAACACACAGATACAGAGGGAGAGCAGAAAGGCTTCCCGGATAGATAGAATGGAACATTCCGCAGACAGGCCAAGGGTGTGAGGAGAAGGGACCCTTCGGAAGAGAGAAGAGCGGAAGGGCAGCCGTCACTGGGTAAGAACAGAGATATCTAATGAGGGCTTTTATAAGGCTTTGCCTCCGAGTGTGAGATGTAAGGCCTTCCCTGGTGGCTCAGCAGCCAAGAATCCACCTGCAGTGCAGGAGATTCAGGAGATAATGGGTTCAGTCCCTGGGTCAGGAAGATCCCCTGGAGGAGAGCATGACAGCTCACTCCAGTATTCTTGCCTGGAGAATCCCATAGACAGAGGAGCCCAGTCCTGTGGGCTACAGTCCACAGGCACAAAGAGTGGGACACGACTGAAATGACTAAGCACACATGCATGCGAAATGTAAACCTATTTCTTGGTTTCCCCACAAGACCTTCAGTAAAATATTCATGGTCCCTTAGTGCATTATGATCTTAGACCTTTATCTTGGCTTCCCAGTGAGTGTAGGGGTGACAAAGGGGGACAATCTCGACCCTGGCCCAGTCTCATTGTACAGCCAGCCATTTATGTATTGAAGACCTACTGTATGCAGGCCTTCTGATGGCACGAAGATGTGAAAAGGGTATAGGAACAGTCCCTACCACACAGGATGCAACAGCAAAACCGTGGGGTACACCAAAGTTCCCTGGGGTGCGCCTGTGAGAGAAGAACACTCCTCCCATGTGTTTCTCCTTTGCTCTCACGCCATGATCACGCTCACACTTCTGACACCAGATGTGTGGAGTTTTCCCCCACACCAAGCAAATGTCTGTGACACCAGTGGGGTGTCCTACCATCCTATTCAGTTCTGATGCTTTCCACGTGGAGTTAGCATCAGAGCCCACAGGTTAAGGGTTCAGTCCCACAAGGTGACCCCCCCCACATAAGATGCCAAACATTAGTCCCAGGTTGTCACCTGTACTTCTGATCAGCCAGCTATAAATCAGGGTTCTCATGACCTCCTCTTTGAGTTTGATCATTTTCTAGAGTGGCTCACAGAACTCAGGGAAACACCGACTTACATTTTCCTATTTCAGTTCAGTTCAGTCTCTCGGTTGTATCCGACTCTTTGCGACCCCATGAACTGCAGCATGCCAGGCCCATTTATTATATAATAAAGAGTACAGATGAGCACCCAGATAAAGTACATAGGGTGAGATCTGGGAGGGTCCCAAGCACAGGAGCTTCTGTTCCTGTGGAGTTGGAGGGTTTGCCATCCTCCTGTTACTTGGGTATGGTTACCAACCCAGAAGCTCTCCAAACCCCATACTTCTGGGATTTTTATGGAGGCTTTATCACATAGGCATGAACTACCATTAACTCAGTCTCTAGCCCTTCTCCCCTTCCCAGAAAGTTCCCAGCTTCTAGTGGCTCAGTCTTTCTGGTAACCAGTCCCTATCCTGAAGCTATCCAGGAGCCCACCAAGAGTTGCCACATTTGAATAAAAAGACACCCTGGTCATCCAGGAAATCCCAAGAGATTTGGAACTCTGTGTCATGATCCAGGGTATAACACCAAACATTAGAACAAGAGCTGCTCCTGGTGCTCTTGTATTACTTAGGAAATTCCAAGAGTTTTAGGAGCTCTGTGCCAGGAACTGGGGGCAGAGACTGATATATATATATATTTCCATTATTTTGCAGTGTCCAGCCCCTTCAGTTTTGGAGGTGGAAAGGAAATCAGGAAAGAATTCCCCAAAATGTGGCTTTTGAGCAGGACCTTCAGTGCGCAGTGGGAGTTTGTTGGGTGACACAAAAGAGGTGTGGTTTACCCTGCTGTTTCGGTCCACCACAAATCCTGCAGCCAGCATGCCTGCTTAGAAAGGCCAGGGCTGGAGGAGGAAGCTGTGATAGTGTTTATCTTTTGCCAAAAATCAGAAATGTGATTTTCAGAGTGAAAAAGAAAAGCAAGCAATCCATGGCCTGAGCCAACACCATCCAGCCATTCAGTGGACCCCAGTGAAGTGTCCTCACAGGACCTTGAAGGGGCACAGGATAGACAAAGCCACGCAGTGAATTGAAGGAGTCTCACCCTTTCTGTAAAGGTCCCAAGAGCTCAGAGCAAATCCTGCCCATAGTGTCACCTGAGAGCCCAGTGACACTCTTTGAATCTGGTAGCTCCAGTGACACTAGCCAGCTGGCAGCCTTTCTCTAGAATAAAGAGAAGGAATGAACTTGTGGCTCTTTTTTGGAAGAGCTTTTTTCTCGAATTAACAGGCACACGGACAGGTGCTGGGGAAGGTGGCCTCTGTTAAGGACCCTTCTGTGACCATTTCAATAGTTCAGTTATAACTTTTGCATATGGTCATTAATCCATGGTTGCAGAACACAATCCTTCCCTCTCCA